TTTCTCCTCTCTTTTGATTTAATTGGAAATATATCCAAGTACAGAGCAATTTGCACAGCAAGTCCATATGGATGTAAGGATTCTTGGACTTGTTATGGATGTAAAGATTCCTGGTTTTGTTATGGATGTATGATTGATGATCATTGTGTTCTTCACCACTTATGATGCTCATCAAATAAAAAGGGAGGAGAACAACTAGTTTACTCACCAAGTCACCCTTAATTCCAGACCAAAAGTCAAGTAATTATTTTTTTCTATCTGAATATGTGAAATGAAGTGGTATATAATTTACGAAAGTTTTTTTGTTTCTATTTGTTTGAAGATGAATTTCGTTTTTGGGAATAATTGCTTGTTTATCATGCATATCTTTATTATCTCAGCACATTGTTAGAATATGTTGGAAAATATTAATGGCAATACTCCATGTGGTTTTTGGGATGACAAAACACTGGTGCTAATATGATTCAATAATTGTGTTTGATGTAAGATAAGTAAATATTGTGTAAGGTTATTATTGTAAAATGGTAATTATTTAATAGTAGAAGGACTTTTCCACACATTGTTACCAAACATACATCATGTGAATAAAATCGCTTTTCCAGACAAAAGCACTTTTCGACATGATGTTAACCAAACAACTTTTTACTCTTAAATTTGTTTTTGCAAAGTCATTCTTGTAAGCCCTTTATAATGAAAGGACTTTTTGCATCAAGAAGCCTCCCCAAACACAACCTTAATGTCTCCATTCATAAGCACAAATTCACGGTCCAAGTGTCTAACAAGCTGAGTCACATTTGCAGCCCTATAAGATTGTGGTTTTACAAGATGCATATTGTGTCATTAGTCAGTACATGGAGTCTGACTGAATAAACTAAAAGCATAGTAGTATTAGATATCTTGCAGGTGATCTTTTGTTACGGTAAACCACCAACATTTAAACCGTGGAATATTTCTAGCTGTGGGTTATCACGCCCCTTAAAATTATTCAATATTTTAACCGTGGAATATTTCTAGCTGTGGAATATTTCTGATTGAATAAACTAAAAGCATAATAGTATTAGATATCACGCCCCTTCAAATTATTCCTCTCATTATTCACTTTTATTGCAAATGTGCCTTGGTGAAGCCGAAGGACTAAGATATATGATTATCTTGAGCTATGTAACTTAATTTTGATTAAACTAACAATGAATTAAGTTTTGAAAGCCGGCCTCAATCTGAATCTCCGTTAACAATGGCTTATTTCTGGCTTATTTGTTGGCCTATTTCATAACACTTTTACTATAAATAGGAGGAGACTAGTGAAGCTATAGCCCAGAAGTGAAAAGGAGTTCATACTTAATTTTAAAGTAGAGAGAAAATATATATATATATAACACACGGCTATGGCATACAACAACAAAATCACCATGTTTCTAAACATGGTTTTCGTACTTTCTTTGCTTCTCATCATCAACATGACCGAAAGCAGGTCACTTCTTGGTGGTAAGTCTTTACTTATAGTCGTTTAGGAGCACCGAATCGGAGCTCTGAAATTACAATGGGAGAAAATTTAATCTAAGCTGTAAATTAAAACTTTTCCAACGTTAATTAAAAGTGTTAGATTCATACTTCCAAACATAGCATTGGTTAATTCACTTGACGCATATATTGTCATTCATAGGTCTAGTGTTATGGTGCTACACTTTATTATTTGTGAATCTGTATGATTTTATATGCATGTTGGAAAAAATATATATAAATGTCATGACTAACATAATGTGCTTTTGATCTTGAAATGAGTCAGTTGTGGTTAAAAAGGCAGAATCAACACCAGTTTGTGATTCAGTGTTTGGTGTGAGAAGTGGAGACACTTGCTTTGATATTGCTCACGGCTTCAACTTGACCACTGAATTCTTTGATTCGATCAACCCCAATCTCAACTGCGACGCGCTTTTTGAGGGACAATGGCTTTGCATTGATGGCACAGTGAATTGAGTTGAGAAACCATTCTTCACAAGTACGGGAAATGAATGCATGCATGAATAAGGAGATACACTTTGATTGTATTCAATGTAGGGTTCTTTCTGTGACTGACTATTAGGTCGATCCATGAATAGCCATTGTTGTTCTTGCTCTGTGACAATTGTATTTCATTATGATAATTTCTTACTGAAAAGATCCTCTGGGTACGGTATATGTGTGCGAGTGAGAGAGTGCGTGCATGCTCAATTGCAGTCATGTTGTCCTTTTATATGTCAAAGTTATAGCATGCTAAAAGAAGTAATCTAAATAAAACACACTCGCAATTCTCTCCTTTCATTCGGACATGCAGGAGACACCGATCGAAATGTCTTGAATTATAAATATATAATACTTTCAGATCATTCAAATAATTTTGTCATACTTTTTTTTCTTCTTCCATCTCTAATATTTCGTCTCACTTTATTATTTTTTCTTCAATAAAAAATCAATTTCACTATATATATATATATATATATATATATATATATATATATATATATTCAATACTTATATTATCGACCTGAAACTTGAATCATCTCCTACTTTGTAAGATAAAAAAATACCATTGGATGGTACATCATTATACATTAAACCCAAAGTTTTAAGACTATACTTTGATGGTCGTACATACACATTTAAATAGTTTTTCTTTTAATTTTTATTTAAAAAAATATATAAGCACGATTATATATATAGAAAATTAAGAGATCACCATAGTTAGTGGAAAGAACTCATTGGATTGACCAGAAAAGAAGCAAGAAGGATGAAAAGCTCAATTATTACCCTAATTAAAGAAAAATATTAAAGGATAATACATCAGTCTTGCCCCATCAAGACAGATTGTGTCATACACATTAACGAGTCCCAATAAAAGATTGACACCTCTTTTAAACTTAAAAAATTACAAAACATAAGTTATACTCATAAATTTGACCGACCTATATATTTTTTTTTCCTTCTTTTTGCTGCCATCTATGTATCCCACTCACATTATTCACACAATGTATATTCTCCTTTTTACAAATTTAACTATAATGACATCTCATCCATGCCTCCAAGAGTATATTTTTGTTCATACTATATATTAGGAAATTGTTTATGCTTCCAATTTATGTATTTTGTTCATTCAACTGAATATGCATTCTTTTCATACCTTGACATCTAAACCATGCCTCCAATTAACCAGGTATCAAGACCACTCAACCAAGTCGAGGTACAAGTGAAACTATGTTTATTAGTCGATCAGCTCACGTGGTTCCATAATTCATGACCACCATCATAAATTAATTCACAATAAATCATAAAATATGCACACATGCAAACTATAAGCATGAATGAATTATGCAAGTCAACCTACTAAGATTCCCATCCACATCATAGCATATAGAAACATGATAAATAATAATGAATAACTTATTAGTTGATTTATTTATTAATGCCTTGTGGTAGTATATATCAGGTACGTTACACATTTAGCCAATAACACTATATTCAATTCCCGTAAAACCAACCAACCACTACCAATATTTGTATAAAGTGGTAATAATCAATTCCAGAATTCAACAAATCACTAACACGTTACACGTATATAATATACAACCTGATCTAATCAACACGTAACCAAATCAACATTGTCCAAAATTGGTTATAATAATTTTTGGATAAAATATATAATTAACACGTAACGACCAAAATGTTTGTAACAATTATGGGTGTGACGACCCTGGTTTTTTAAGACAGTGCATCCTATGATGAACCATAATTTGACCTGATAATGGATCCAAAATGCGGAAGCGAAAATAGAAAACAAGTCTCTAAGGATATACAACATCCCTAGAGGTGTCTCTGGTAGATGTATCAAACTTCAGGGGGTGTCATTGTCTCAAAATAGACAAACTTTCATCTGAGTGTCCTTTTGACAAACCTCAAGGAGCGTTACTGTACTTACCCTAATTATAATTATATGTAACATACATATATACATATACCCATCACCTCATTGGGCCTAAAGTCCATTTAGCCCATTAAGGTCATTCTCCTTAGCCCAATACCAGGTCCTTTGGCCCAAATATAACCAAGTCCAACCCAAAGCAAAATTTAAATAAAACAAATTAAAACCAAAACAAATTATATAATTAAAACCAATACATAATTCACAAATACACATAAACATACATAAAAGCTAGTCATACAAACAATCAAATCATTGCATTCAAATTAAATAATGTGAACATGCCAAATCATTAATAATAATAATGCCACACAAATTAAATAAAAATAAGACAAATTAATAATTTAAACATTTAATTAAAATCAAATACATCATTTAAATTAAATTAAAAGTAATTAATTTAAATAATTAAATCTTTTAAAATATAAGGGTATTACAATAATTGTCTTTTTTTTTTTTTTTTTTGACCAACAGGCCTATGGCCTAGCAGTACAAGGCTCCTACCTACCAAAAGGAGGTCAGAAGTTTAAACCTCAGTGGAGGCAGTGTGTGTGAGTTCCAACTAAGAAAAAAAAAAATTTAATTGTCTTTTTACAAATAAGGTATTGAACAAAAGTGTCTCCACAATAATTTGGAGGACACATTTGGCATATGAAACTTAAAAATTTTGACACAATCAATGAAACTAAAAGCAGGGGATAGTTTGTTACACATGTATAGTTAGAAGAGAAGTAATCTAATTATTTAAAACACATTAGAAATAATTGTAATAAACCCTAACTAAAGAAGAGATAAATATAATTTATCCGTCCAAAAAAAAAAAAAAATTAAAGAAAAAATATTGTTTTTTATTATTTTTTTTAAAAAAAAAAATCACTGAAACTTCTTAAACAATCTTTTTATTTTATTTTATTTTATTTTTATTATCAAATACTCGAAATGATTTGCAAACACCGAATACTAGATGTTTGAGATTATACTTTAGCCTGGAAAACTTCTTGGGATTTTGTTCAGCCATTTTCACCCACAAAACAAATATATATATATCCAAACGCGAAGAGAAGAGAGGTTCCTATATTTTGCTTTCTTTTCTTTATTTCCCATGACCAAAAACGTTGTCTCTCCTCTTTCCTTTTTCCCCTCGAGCTTCGAAAAAAACAGCTAACCAATTAGAGTCCACTTCTCCATCTTTCCCGCCATGGATGTCCTACACTCAGCTTCTCGATTCTATCCGACTCGCCCTCACCGTCCATTCACACCTCTTCGCAACCTCTCTCGACGATTCATCCTCAGGTCTTTTTGCACTCCATTTTCTTCCCCAATCCAACCACCCCTTCGTTCCTTTCCCAGCAATCTAGGTCTATTTGCGATGTTCTTTGATTCAATCTTGTGGTGAATTTTCAGGTCGAGCCTTCCATTTCCGGAGCAGAAAGCCAAGTACCACAGAGAGCTCCGAGCCTCTGTCGATGCTGTCGAGAGAGCTTGTCGTCTCTGTGTGGACGTAATTTCTCACACTAATTTTTTTTTTTTTTTTTTTTCCATTATCCCCTGTTTGGTTTCTGAGAAAATGTTGCAAAGTGAAAACAAAAACTTTAACATTCTGAATCTTAAATTCTTCACTTATTTTGGTATAGGAGAGTATTAGCATTCTTGAGCTTTAATTTGTTAGATATCGAAACAGCTGAAAACAACGAAGATCTGCCTCTAATTTATCTTCTTTTTCTAGTATTTTTTTTTTTTTAATTTAATTTATATTTTATGTATGTTGATAATTGGCAGGTGCATAAGTCTCTGTTCTCTACTGATGGACGGGTCGTTGAAAAGACTGATCTAACTCCGGTCACAGTGGCGGATTTTGGGGTTCAGGCATTAATTAGCTTGGGTAATTTATTTCATTCTCTTTTCTTTTAGATTGATTATTTAGTTAAGTTGTATGTATATCAATTTGACTTAATTTGTAAATATCAAGTGTACTTGGCACACTCATACCTGACCTAATGTGTTCATATATTGGTGTATCTCTGCATAATGCCTTCAATGATCAAACTACTCTTGACACTTGAACCATCCAACCAAAAAAACTTGAGCAAAATTATGACTTTATATATTGGTTTTGAAAACGGAATATTCTGACATACAATACAATTCCTAATAATTAGGCCTCCTTGCTAACCTATATGGTTGGGCAATTAAACACTCCTATCTATTCTTTGCTTTGGCTTGTCAATAAACCCTATGTAAAGAAATATAACTTTTTATTTAACTATTGTTGGAAGTAATAATTTCTGTTTCAATTACGGTTTTAGAGTAACTGTGATCATCTAAGAGTTAGCCGGATACTTCTATAAGGGAGACGTACGTGTATCATGTCCATGCCGAATACTGACACTCCTCACACTTGAGAGGATATGTGCCCGATACATCCTAGAAGTTTTAAAATTTTGAAAATAATCTTATATATATATAATACGTATCTGATACTTCTCTATATTTTGTCTTCGTATTCATGAATACTTCTCTGATACTTCGAGACACATATTTAACAAGTCTTGAATATTAAACTATTTTTTCCAAGTTTATATCATAGTAATATTGTTTAAAACAACAAATTTTTTTTTTTTTTGAAAGAAGTATTGAGAGATATATCATGACTAATTAAGTCTAAAATTTATCCTTGCGTGCAATCGAACTCTCAACTCTTAGCTTGTTTGTCATAATTTTTATTTTTATTTTATAAAAGAATGTTAGTAACAATATATATAGCATGACAAATAGTTATTATACTACTTTATACATTGAAATATATATATATATATATATATATATATATCTATATATATTTTTATTTATTTATTTATTTATTTTTATATATATCTGCATTAATACAGTATATCATTATATTGACATATCATTGCCGTATTTGTATTCTATTCTATAAGAAATTTTCGTACCACCGTTTCTGCATCGCGTCGTGTTCGTATATTGTGTCCATGTCCGTGCTTCATAGGACCACCAATCAGTGTTGTCAAAGGCTCGCCTGGGCGCGCGCCTAGGCTCCAGGTTATACAAGCGCAACACTTGCGCTTGTTGTGTGCCTAGGCGCGCCTTTGACAACACTTGCACTTGTTGTGTGCCTAGGCGCGCCTTTGACAACACTTGCACCTTTAATATGGAATATGAATGCTTTAATAGTAATTTAATATTTTAACGGTGCGTCGTGCTTCACTCAAATGAGTGCCACGCCTTGCGCCAAGCCTCCAAAGGACCTCTAGCGCCTTAGGCCTTTGATAACACTCATACCAATACATACGTTTTACTTCTAGAATTTTATAGTGTTAATTCTCGAATGATTATCTAGTGAATTTTGTTAGATTTAAAAGATTACTCAATTTGGGTAATATATTAGTAATTATTATTTAATATATAGTGGTTAATTAAGGAAAATGATATTGGTACAACAACAACAAAGCTTTTTCTTAATTACTTAGGGGTCAGCTATGAAACGGCGATAGAAGCCGGCATGACCTAGAAAGAAGTGAACTTCTCTCACCGTTGAAGGTGGAGGTAATTCAGAAATGAGCTCAACTTCCGCCTTATCTACCTCAATCCCCCTCTTAGAGATGACATGACCTAAAACAATGCCTTCTTGAACCATGAAATGACTCTTTTCCCAACTAAGAATAAGGTTTGTCTCTCAACATCTTTTAAGCACCAAATCTAGATTTTTAAGGCATGCATCAAATGAGGACCCAAAAACAGAAAAATCATCCATGAAGACCTCTAGATACTCTTCCACCATGTCCGAAAAAATTGACATCATACACCTTTGGAATGTGGCAGGTGCATTACACAAACCAAAAGGCATCCGTCTATAAGCAAATGTGCCGAATGGACATGTAAATGTGGTTTTCTCCTGGTCTAATGGGTCAAGGGCTACTTGATTGTATCCCGAATAGCCATCAAGGAAGCAATAATATTGTTGCTCGGCCAATCTTTCTAGAATTTGATCAATGAATGGCAAAGGAAAGTGATCCTTTCTAGTGGCGGCATTCAATTTACGGTAATCAATGCATACACGCCATGAATTGGCGGTACGCTTAGAGATTTCCTCACCCTTTGCATTTTCAACCACCGTAATCCCCGATTTTTTGGGAACTACTTGAGTTGGACTCACCCACTTGCTATCGGAGATTGGATAAATGATTCCGGCATCTAAGAGTTTGACTACTTCCTTCTTGACTACCTCCTTCATGTTTGGATTAAATCTCCTTTGGGCGTCCCTAAAGGGTTTTGTCTCATCTTCCATAAGTATGCGATGCATGCAAATAGAAGGGTCAATTCCCTTAAGATCCGCCACACTCCATCCTATGGCTTCCTTATTTTCTTTAAGCACACTTAAGAGTGCCTCTTCTTGATCTTTTTCAAGACTTGAAGAAATGATAACCGGAAAAGTCTCTTTTGGACCTAAGAAGGCATACTTGAGATTGGAAGGTAGAGTTTTAAGCTCAAGAGTTGGTGGAGAGATTAAAGATGAGACCGGTGGAGTGCTAGAGAGTGGAGGAAGGGGTTTTATTGGAGTTCTCCAAGATGGACAATCTAAGCTTGCAACCGATTCCATGAGATTGCTTAATTCATTCATTGATTTTTCATCATCAAATCCACAATTTCCATACATTTCAAGAAGACAAGAAGCAAGAGGATTATCGGATAAAAGAGATGAAAGACTATCCTCAATTGGTTGCTTCGTAATCATTGTTGGAATTGACTCCGCAACAACCTCATCTAACACATCAACAAGACAACACTATTCTTCATCTGTGGGATGTCGACTTGCATGGAAAACATTGAGTTTGACCATCATATTGCCAAAAGAAAGATCCATGATCCCGGATCTACAATTAATTGTTGTATTTGCGGTGGCAAAGAATGGTCTTCCCAAGATGATTAGGATGTGGGTGGAAGGATTGGCAACCGGCTCGGTATCAAGAACTACAAAATCAATTGGAAAGTAGAATTTATCCACTTTTACAAGGATGTCCTCTGCCATGCCCCTAGGTGTTTTGACGGATCTATCGGCCATTTGAAGTACCACCGAGGTTGGCTTCAAATCATTCAACCCTAATTGGACATATACGGAGTAAGGAATCAAGTTGACACTTGCACCTAAGTCAAGAAGAGCTCTACGAATTTCATGTATTCCAATTACACAAGAAATAGTCGGAGCAACGGGATCTTTGAACTTAAGTGGAGTGTTTTGTTGAAGAATGGAGCTCACTTGCTCCGTGAGGAACACTTTTTTAGGGCGTGGACCCTTGCTCTTCCTCTTTTGTGTGCAAAGATCCTTCAAGAATTTTGCATAAGGTGGGATTTGCTTAATGGCATCCAAAAGAGGAAGATTGATGTTGACTTGCTTAAAAACTTCCATCATGTCATGTGTTTTCCCTTCTTGCCTCCCTAAAGGTGAAGTTTCTTTTAAAGCATAAGGGAATGGAGCTTTTGGCTCACAAGACTTTGTAATTTGAAAGGATGATGGAGAAGATTGAGAATTCCGGTTAGGAACAGTTTCATCCAAGGAAGTAGGAGTGAGATTGGGAATTGGATGGGTGACAACTTTAAGTTGCACCGATTCACTATCTTCCTTCAGTAGTTCAACCCTATTATCCACTTACTTGCCACTTCTCAAAGTGGTGATGGCTTGCGCTTGAGCTTGGGAAGAACACCCCGATGTAGGGTTTGCTTCCACACAAAATTGGGCCTTTGGATTCCTCTCGAGTTGACTAGGTAATTTCCCAACCTCTCTTGCATTCAATGCATTAGCTATGGTCCCGATTTGGGATTCAAGCTTTGAAATTGATTAAGAATGGGAATGCAACAAGTTGGTATTCATTTCTAAGCTATCCAAAGCTACCAAAACCGTATCTTCAAATGTTGAATTGCTAGAGAATGCATGAGGATAATGAGTGTCAATTTGGGAGTCATACATTTGAGGATGTGAAAAGTGGTTCATTCTTTGGTGCTGAGAACAAGAAACAATTCCTTGGGACCCTCCATTCCTTTTATGAGGTGGGATGTATTTGCTTTGAAAATTTTTGATTGGGTAAGGACTGGGACTCTCATTCCACTTTGGAACATATGCACTTGAATAAGGTCGAGCAAATGTAGCATTGACTTGTTCAAAATGTTCATTAAACACATGTCCATGGGGACAATTGGAAGTAGTATGTAGAACACTTGAACATGTCATGCAAGGCTCACAAGATTGAGAAAAATGATGAAGAGGGAATGAATTGGTAGCCGGTCTTTAACTTAACAAGAATTGATCAAGTTTTTGAGAAAGAGTTTTAACTTCGGCTACAATTTCCCTTGAACTTTCAATTTGACAAACTTTTTCACTTTACTCCTTAGAATGATGATCGAACCGAGAAATGTAATGTTTGTGCAAAGAATTCTCGCTCATTTTCTCAAAGAGGTGCCAAATGTCGTCTTCATGTTTCCCAAAATATTAGCCTCCACATGAGGTATCAACAATATCCTTTTGCATATCGGATAGGCTTTCATAGAAGTATTGGATCACTTGCCATTTTGGAATGCTATGATGTGGACATTTTCTTAGCAAGTCATTCAATCTCTCCCAAGCCTCATGCAACAACTCTCCTTCCCTTTGAGAAAATTCTCTAATTGAAGCACACATCACATTGGTCAAACTTACGGGGTAAAATTTTTTTAAAAACTCATTTTGCATTTGCGCCCAAGATGTGATTGAATTTACCCTTAAAGTATTGAACCAATGCTTTGCTTTGTTTTTTAAGTGTGAAAGGGAAGAGGAGTAGTTTAAGAACTTCCTCCGGGACATTAATGTACCTCACGGTGGAACATAGTTCAAGAAATTCATTAAGATGCCTATATGGTTCCTCTTTATCTAAGCCATAAAAGAGTGGACACATTTGAATGGTCTCGGGCTTGATTTCATATTGATTAGCCTCAAAATTAGGCAACACGATGCAAGTAGGTGTATGGTATGCATGAAGATTATAATGATCACGAAGGACCATTGGAGGAATTGGAGCTTGGACTCCGGGGCCATGTTGATTAAGTGGTGGGTTTTGCATGAAACGTGGGTCTAAGTAGCCACGATGACCCTCTAGATTTTCCATGTGAATGCCTAGCATGAATGGTATGGCGAGGTTTACACAAGACTACAAATGACACACAAATCACCACAAAACAAGCAAGCACTCCCCCTTTGCAACAAATCAACCATCAACAAACTTCCTCCACATACATTGTACCCACACTCCCATGCTTGAATAACATGCAAAGAAAAGTAAATTGCCTCCACGCGGACTCACGATCTATCTAAGAATTTAACAACTTGCCTCCACGCGGGCCGACGATTTAACTAAGAGATTGAGTAAAGAAAGTCTTACAAAGGTCCTTTAGCACTTCAACTCCAAATTTAAAGCTTAGCTTGGCAATTTTTAAGTTCTTAGCATTTTTCCTTTCTTTGCTTAGCTTCTTTACTTGGATGTTCCTTTGTTTGCCTTCTTACTCAATGCTCCTTGTCAAATATGAACAAACACAATAAGTAACCAAAAGAAAAATGAAACAAGTAAAGACATAATCAAAAGAGTACTAATTCCTAATTGATTCCACAACTACGACGTTGCCTAATCCCCGGCAACGGCGCCAAAAACTTGTTGGTCCTTATATTATAAGTCGCGGTGACCACAAGCTTGGAGAAGCGTGCAATTTAGGCGAGGGCCAAGTTTTACATTTGTAAAAGCCACTACTACCTTTCACTATAAATATAGCTAGGGCGAGTAGGGATCGTCCCAAGGGATTGGAGTCGGAGTTAATTGTGGAATCGCTATTAGGGTTAGTAGGTCGAGTGATCAAACAATTGATTGGTTGGTTGATTAGATTAGAGAGCAACTAAATTAAACTAAGTAATTGAATGCAATGGAGAGTAAGTAAGAGAGAGAGAAGAGTCTTGGGGTTTAGAGATCACCACCAAGCAATGCATTTCTATATTATTGACAAGTGATTAATGAGGGCAATTAGGGTGTTGCAATATTGGTGTGTGTGTATTTGGTTGATTCAACAAGTAAGGATGACTAATTAAGCATACATTGTCTAACCAACATGTGAAAAACACAATATATCTAGCAGTTAAGTATATATTGTCTAAATAGCATGTGAAAAGCACAACATATCTAGCAAATCATTGATCCTTTTCATTGAACTCACAACCATGCATAACACAAAATTAGAGACATATGCTACTTGCATTCAAAAGTATGGAGCATCAAACAACTAGCATGGATTGTCTTCCCATCTAATATTATACTATCACTAAACTACAATTAAGCCATTGAAATTAAACTAATTTAGCTAAGAAGGAGACACAATCCATCAAAATATGAGCATGAACCATCTAGAGAATCACAGGAACATTCCTTTAAGCACTATGTTTTGACAACCTCTAAATTTATGGCATCAATACACATAGACATGCATCAACAACACAAAATCTAGAAATAAGCATATGAACATCTATTCTAACATACATAGACATATGGATAGAATGAAATGATCAATTAGAAGCATTAAACCACATAAATCATTGATTAAACAAGATCTATATATATCAAAGTGTCAAAACATTAATTACAACACTAATCCCTCAATAATACACAAGATTAAGATATAGAAAGCATGCTTGGGGCTAACTCTAGCCCCAAGAGGATGTCTAGCCACTCATGGTGAGGATGCTCCAACCCTCAAGGGCTAACTCCATGGTTGAAGTCTGCTCCTTGTTGATGAAGAGTCTCCAATGGTGTCTCTAGCCTCCTCCTCCTCTAAGCTTCCTCTCCAAGAGATGATATGAAAATAATGTTGGCTCCCCTTGAAAAAGCAATCATTATCCTTATATAGGTAGGTCAAAATGACACCCAAAATGAGCTGGGGTCGTGCACACAATATTCCCTAATGATTGGATAAAGGATAACTTTCAATGAGATGGAATTTCAACTTTTTCGCACTAGAGGAAGTTCGATCGATCGAAAGTAAGTGAGATCGATCGAACTTAGGCTGGATCGATCCAACTGGCTGAGCTTTTTGGAAAGAGACAAATCCGAGATATTTATGGGAAATATTTATGGGAAAAGGACAAAAGTGGTTAGTGGATGGTACAGCTGTGGATAGGATCAATCATTTGGATAAGGACAAAGGTGTTCGATCGATCGAAGAAAGATGTTGGATCGATCGAACTTTTGGACTTAAGTGCTTTGGGTCAAGGCTTGGATCTATCTTGAAGTGCTGAGATCGATCATTGTTCGATCGATCGAACCTTGAACTTGGATCGATCGAACTTGCTGCTTTGCTTCATTTTGCTTCTTTCTTTCTCCACTTTGCTCCTTTCTTTATTTAATCTCAGAATTGCTTCAATTAAGCTTTATTTGGCTGAGTTAGCTTATTTTCGGGATAAGTGCCTGAAAATGGAAATAATACGAAATCAATCTAAAACGGTAAAGTAAGATAGATAAAGGTACTAGAATGCCTAAGCTTAAGGGGTTTAAATACGCACTTTTCAGTGCTCATCAGGCTACATGAATCCCAGGTTTCCATTCCGTTCTATTTAAGGCCATAGCCTCATTCAATCCATAAGGGAAATGATATTGGTACTCCATAAAAATATAATAGCACTCCACTTGCTTCTTTGTTTTCGGTTAACTGACAGTTTTGTCCCCTTAAAAGCACTTATGCTCCAACAATTGTTCCAAAATGTAGCCTTACACTCCACTTTTGAGGGATAATTGTGTCCTCCTTTTATTAAAAAAAAAAAAAAAATTAAGGCTTCATTTGGGTTGATGGATTCAAAAAAAAAAAAAAAAAAAAAAAAAAAAAAAAAAAAAAAAAAAAAAAAAAGGGAAAAGGTAGGGATAGTGATTTTTATATTTGGTTTGCCATTAAGGAGAGAAAAGAAATGATTCAGAGAGATTAGGAAGGATAGCTTATCCCTCCAAGTTTCTCCTTTTCTATCCTTTCAAAAGTGAGAAGATTTGGAGAGAAAGGATAGCAAGTTAAGTAAAACTTTCATGATACCTAAAATGCCTTCAACATTTTAAAGAAAAAATTTATATGACATTTGAGTCCCATATTATAAAATCTTCCGGTTTGGATTTAATGGTTGGTTTTTTTATTTAAAAGAGCCTTTGCTCCTTGGACCGAAATCGTCCCACACACAATAAATGTCAGGATTTAATTGGTGGATAAATGTTCGTATGAGTAATTTTATATCACCAGTTCACTACACAGCTTATTTTGCCATCAGTCACAATGTAAACTAAGCCTTTAATTTATTTATTTATTTCTACTTAGTTCTTTGGATTTCATCATCTTGTCACTGCTTGGGTCATGTCTCTCTTGACATGTAAATTATATTGGGTTACCATTTTAATTCAAAAACTGTGTCATACAAGTTCTTTCCATTGCCAAAACATTTTCTTGTTATACAACTATTCGAAAGCCAATATCATTTGAATTTTTTTAGAAACATGGTATAAATTTGTAACAATAACAATTTTTTTTTTTTTTTTTTTTTTTTTTTTTTTTGTAGTAATAATATTTCTTTAAAAAAATTGTGGTTAATTTTTTCTTTTCAGTGTACAGAAAATTTCAATTCTATAACAAACTTTGAATCATTCCATTTTATTTATTTATTTATTTTGTAGCATTGAAAAAAAGAGAAGTACTTTTGTATAAGATACCACATCAACTTATTTTTAACTTATAATGAAAATACAAAAGTTATGCTAGTAAATTGGTTAAAAGAGTATATTTTCTTTTCTCTCCTTTACCTTATCCAAACAAGAATACTATCATTTCCTTTCCTTTCCTTCATAATTAATCCAAACATGAATACAGGTTTATCCTTTCTTTTCTTTTCTTTTCTCTCATAGCAAATGTTATCCTTTCTTTTCTATTGTCTTCTGTTTATCGAAACGAAGCCCAAGTGAAGTGTTAGTTCCTTTTTGTGGAGTGTGAACATCACATTCCAAAAAAAAAAAAAAAAAAAGATCACATTCCTTAATTAATAATTACTAATTTCTCATTTAGCAATTAGTTCTACTCTACCCCAATATACTTTTTTTTTTGTTAGTGGTCTACTGACTCTACCCTGATATAGTACTTTTTCTTACACCCTAATGTACTAATTTGTTATACATTACATTATGCTTTGGTATATCTTACTTGGCCAAATTGCACTAAACCACCTTATATTATCAAAAAGTTGCAAAATACCCTCATCTACTTCTTTTTTTTGGCAACAAACACCTTCAATTTATCAAAAAAAAAATTTCATGTCGTAACAGAGCTGGGTAAATTGTTTCCTTCCATTCCCTTGGTGGCTGAAGAGGACTCAGCATTTGTACGTTCAAATAATCTGGAAAATTCTGTTTTAAATGTGGTTACTGATAAAACAAGCTTCAGAGATAAACAATTGACACAAGCTGATGTATTGGAAGCAATTGACAGAGGGGGCAAGGATGCCTTTACATTTGGACCTAAGCCTGCCACTTATTGGGTGAGTTTATCTGAGCTTTTGAAGATTTCCCATTGAATCTGATGCAGTTGAAAACGTCAAAATTTTTCTAAAATTGTTCAGAATTTGGCGTTTGTTCATTTTTGTTATTTTAATGACAAATAACATTTTGTTGATAAAAGATGAGGCACATGGTATCCAACAAAAATTATGGTCTTTGCAAATAAATTTCAAAATGTGAACTTCAAAATACAAATAAATTTCATGTAGTAACAAAACTAATTTATGGTCTTTGCTCCTGCTCGTTCTCCTTCCCTGTTGCTAGAGAAAAACCTGAATTTTGTGCATGCAATGCCATTATCACATGCATTTGTTAGCTGATGTGTATTTGTGGATCCTACTGTTGTGTGCTCTTGTGAATGTGAGTAAGGTTACCCTCTGCAGTGCCCCTTTAAGTTTCTTCCAACATGACATGTTTCTTAAGTTTGGGCACTGGCTTCCTTCTGATTTAAAATAGAAAAAAGATGGAAAAAGTAATATACACGACGTGTTCATTTTCCTACTAGAAAGAAAAGACTGTTTATTTTTCTTAATTTGTATTAGTCTTTGTCTCTAGAGTTTTTTCTTTGTATTTATTAAGATAATTCAGATTAAGCCATCGATGATGTTGATTTATTAAGATAGTAAACTTGATACAGGTACTGGATCCTATTGATGGGACAAAAGGTTTTGTGAAAGGTGGTGAGGCCTTATATGTGGTATGTTCTATTTGTTGCTTATTGTAGTGTTTTTATTTATTTATTTTTTCTTCAATTAAGAATGGTTGCTTTAGTGTTAACCTGACCAACTTGCATTTTGAGTGTTTATTAATTTCTTTTTTGATAAATTTTCCCTTCAAACATTTATCAAAAATTGATTCATTTGTTTTTTGAAGTACTATTTTTTTTTTTTTTTTGGTTGTAAATTCCCTAGTGAATTGAATGAGATTTTGCAAAAAGAATGTAATGTGTATAACTACAGCTGACTTGCTCTGAAGTAGGAATCTTGACTGAGTTGCTATGGAGACAAATAATCTCACTTTCCCAATCAAATGTACCATAGCAAATACAGAACCTCGACACTTGTGTCTGGGTATAAGGAGTTGCATACCTTTTTTCAGAGGTAGTGAACAATTGACTGGATACCCCTCCTTCTGATGGGTGGGGTTGTGATGGGAGAAGTTACTGAATTTTGTGTCCATGCTTTGATAAATTAGAAAAATTAACTAGGTATTTCAAATTCTTGGGTGTACAACATAATTCTCAAGCTAGTCAACAAAGGAAAGGATTAGTGGGGGCCAATAATTAATGTTCTGGACCTTTTCTTGGAAGAGGGGGAATGGGGGGCCAATGATTAATCTGCTGAAATTTTTCTTGGAAGTGAGGGGAAGGAGAGCTACTGAATTTTGGTCCATGCTCTGATATAACAACAAAAGTAACTATGTGTTTTAAATTATTGAGGGGCTGTAGCGGCTTCTAACCTCCCCGCCTCCACCATTTACAAGAGGTAGAGTTTTGAGCCAATGTTTTCTGTAGACATTATTTTGGATACTTGGGAGACAGAGATGGTAGGATCTCAATGATACAAGTTCAATACTTTTAGCTCAATCTTAAAAATTCTGAATTACTTTATTTTCTTTCCATATATATATATATCTGTCAATCTAGTGTCTACTAAGGGAAGAGACTCGATGACCGGCATCTACTAACCAGATACATACTATTTTGGGTATTCGAGTTCCAGGGTTGTGTTTTCTTCATCTGTCTTTGCGTATTGTCTAATTGACTATTTAGAACATATTGTTGATTTACATTTAGATTTATAATATTATGGAAAACTAATCAAATTTTTATATATAAAAATATAACATATTATTTTTTCCGTATCGTTGGCGTACCTGTGTCTTATTTTTTTGCCATATCCTTTGCGTACCTTTATCCATGCCATGTTGTTTCCGCATCCTTGTATCTCGTATCCATGCTTCACAACAGAAAAGACTATTTCCGTATTGATTCTTTACCCCTCACCACAGTCCTCCCCGCCCCCACCCCCCCCCCCCCCCCCAACATCTCTCTTTTACTGGACATAAGCTTGTCAGATTCTTTTCCAATTCTATTAACTCTTTGAGTAGTCCTGAATTGTTGATTCCTAGCTCATCTTTTCTCTCTCTTAGTATATTGTTTCTGTAAACCCTTTTGGGTTTTAACAGAAGTACCAGTGATCAGTCCTCAGCTCTCAGCGGATGCTTAACTTTCCTTTCCTTTCTGTTATTTATTTTAATTGAACTTCATTTTTTGGTTTTAGAGTTTTGTTACTAATTCAAACCTTTCTCTAATTATTGGCGATGGTGCAGGGTTGCCATGGTGATCTTATGCTAATTTTAGAAGAAGGTTCTCTTCCAAGTTCCAAACTACTGGAAATCTAGGAACAAAGATAAATTTTACCCAAAAATATATTCCTCAAAAATAAATTTGTGAGGGAAAAGCTTTCAGCTTAGCAAACAGTGCATAAGGAGAAAAAGAGGGTCTTAAGTCCTAATATGAAGGTGTTTTTACTTACAGGACTAAATCACCAGAAAATGGTTCTCTTATCTTGGGAATTCTGTCAGTTGTGATAAAAGCTTTTCTACCTTTCATCAGCCTTGGTGGTTTTCTTCGCTTGGCTGGGAACCATCCTAGAATCATTACTTCCTGTGTCGGTCTGATGCGATCTCTCATTACAGAGAATTTACCAGCTATTCACTACATTATTACAAAAGCAGCCCTGGAAAATGTGTCTGTGAGTGTATCTGTGTGTGTATGTTATAGGAGGAAGTAATGGAGCCACAAGTTTCAGAAGAAACAAACTGAATGCCATCTATATTTTACAATTCTTATGACCCAAAAGTTTTAAATTAGATTCCTCCATCTCTGTTTCTTGTCTTCTTTGGTTGCTATATATATATATATATATATATTTTGCATAGAATTTTTCCTCTCACCTTTTTTTTTTTTTTTTTGAACATTTTTTTATTATATCAGTGTGTATTTCTTGTTATCCTCATTTAGCTAAGGCACATTTTTCTAGGTAGGTTTGGCTCTTGTAGTCGAAGGAGAGATTGTAGTAGGAGTCATGGGCTGCCCTAACTGGCAGGAAGTTTATTCCAACAAGTCCACCATTGAAGTGCCAGAATATGAAAAGATTCTAACTGGATCAGGCATCATTATGTTTGCCCATGTTGGCTGTGGAACATGGACAAAGAGGTTGTCAGATGCTCTGAGTGGCATGGCCAAGATGTCCGATAGTTGGACTAGATGCTCTGTGGATGGGCTTTGCTTAGTTCCTGAAGCACGCATTTGTATTTCGGATAATCAAACATGGGAGACTTGGCCACTATCGGCTGTATTTAGCGCAACAACCAATGCTGAGACTATTGAGAATAATCAAATTCTTCTTCTGCCTATATGCTGTGGAAGGTTACTTTTTACTCCATTAACAGTAGAAGTTCATCCCCACTTTTAATGGATTTACTTATAGTTTTGATTGTTCATATGCTGTGAACTAGCTTTCATTGGCTGTCAGATTTCTTCCAGAATAAGATGAACTAATTCTTCTTTTGTGATGCATGTTGTAAAGCTTTTACGTAGATCTATTAATAGTTGAAGTACATTCCCTTTCTTAATTTTATATACTTGATCCCATAAATGCTACAAATCACAGAGATATTGTTCACTGGTAGCCAGAATTCTTCTTGGTGATTATCAATTACATAATTTAAAGATGAATACTGTAATTTGCACGCAGAGTAGCTAGTTTTCACATCTAGAGTTCATTTTGCTTGTTAGGCACCAGACTTTATATTAGGAGTGAATATGAAGAAAATTTGTTAAAAGCTCTGATGTTTGATCATGCTAGTAAAGTCCAAAATACTCATAAGCTGCAACACTCATTTGTGGATGACTGTGTGCTTTCATAGGGATTAATCTCTACAGACTCTACTCGAAATGAATGAGAACACTCTGGCATACCCCAACCCCAAACACCCCCCCCCCCCCCCCCCCCCCCCCCCCCCCCCCCCACGGCGCGCGCGCGCAAAGTTCAGTTTGCTTCTTGTGGTTTTCGTTGTTGATGTTCTTTCCACAATTAAGAACTTCTGTCTTGCACCCATATCTTTCATGTTCTGCATTCCACTTTTTATTTTTTTTTTTTTTGTACCAGTCCAATTGTTCTCAACTGTGATATAAAGCTATTACCTATTTCCTTCTATCCTTGGATTTTTTTGGAATTTTCCGTGTCTGTTTTCTAGATTATCAAGCATCCGTTCTTAGAACATACTCTCCCATCTCATTATGCCCTCCATTTGCTCTCATTTTTAACAATTTCTATATATAGTATATGATACAATTATCCATTTTCTTGTATGTAGTTTGACGAAGTATTTGATGGTGGCCATTGGTAGGGCATCTGTTTATATTCATCCTGCAAGGCTTCAAAATGTTATCCAGGTATTATATTTATATTTACTCATTTATTGGTATTGAAATTGCAGCAGCATGACTTGATACTTCATCTCACTTATGATATAGTCTTGGGATCATGCTGTTGGAATAATATGCGTGCATGAAGCAGGGGGAAAGGTATGCATCTGCGTCTCTCCACTGGCATTCTGTTCTGAATGTTTCATTATTCTTGGATTGGTTATATGCCAAATTTTCTTCTCTCTTGTTCAAATTACCACTAGGTCAGTAAATGAGGATGTATTGTATGGAAAACACAACAGAAATGCACTGTAAAATGGTCTAAATGTTCTGCAGGCCTGTTGTATATGGAAGGGAAAAGCAATGGGATAGCACCAATATTGACACCTGTTAGCAAGCTTGAAATGCTTTGTGAAGATTTCTATTTTATTGAATCTAAAAAATGAAATCAGATGTGCTCCTTATGATGGACAAGATACAAAAGCACCATTGTCACATCAATTTAAATATACTAATAAGATCGATAGTGTAAAATTAAGAGTAGGAAGATTTGTCTTCCATGGTGGGTGTTGACAAAGTGAAATAGAAGAATGTTGAGGATGTTTAGTAATCCTTTGAACTACAGATGCTTTTTGTCCCTCATTATTTAATGTTAACTTGCACATGCTAGCCTTTCACCCCCTTTCTATTATAGAATTTATTCTAGCATCTAACATGCAACCATTAGGATCTATTACAAGCAAAATTGCTGCATACAAATCAACACTGTAAATCAGTAAGCTGTGTAAGTCAAACTTCAATGTGGTTTAGATTCCATTGAACGCTGTATTTGGGGATGAAAATTCTCTATATGACCTTTATCCAACATGGCTAATTTGAACAATTAACCCCTATTTTATTGTTTATATTGGAACACCACATGGTCTGCCTGTGCCAATCTGAAATTCTGAACTAAACAGTTTTTCTTCTATTTGCTAGACCAACATATCCACTTCTAGATGACTGTATTGTAAACATTTTGGTGTCAGATATCTAGAAACTTCTACACATTAAATTTTCAATTCATGGATTAGGTTGGCCATGTAAAAACTTCAAGCTTAAATTGCGCGAAATGAGATCCTTCTCTGCCTTTACGGAACATACCTAGTGGGATTGGGCACATCTGTGAGCAGACACACTCACAAACAGAAGATAGGAGAGGCAAGCAAGATACATGAAACTTGAAACAATTCAATGAGGATTTAAATTATAGAAAAACAACTAACAGGTATGATTCTGTTCTGTTTCATATACAGTCAACTTAAGAAAGCATTGTCCTGACTATTTGGGATTGACTATTCAATTTCATATATTGTAATATAATAATGAAAAGATGAACCACAATTTCTGTTGAAAGTTTTAGTATTTGAATTATCAAAAGCAGTTGCGACTAGATTGTTCTCCGATAAAGGAAGAGAACAAATTGAACGCCTTTGGGGTATTAATATTTGTATAGAAGCCTTTCGCAGTGGCGCAAAATGAGAGCAATTTCACAAAGGAGAAAACAATGTCACACACACACACACACATACACATACACAAATGGGGAAAGCGCGGGGGGAAGGAATTATGTTTTAGTTTCCATGAAAACCAGCATGGTCACACACAAACAGGGGGCTCGGGGATCATGCCAATGCTGTGAATGCACCAAAGTCATTATATATTGTTTCCTTTAGAAACAGAAGGCACACAAGACACATATCACAGACAACCAATTTTTTTTTACCGCTCTTGAAACCTTGATTGGGGCTTGGGAGTTGACACCCAAAGCCACCAAGACAAAAAGTAGACTGGTCACAGACAAGTTTTATATTGCTTTTCATGAAAATTGACACACATTAGTGACTTTACTTAATGAGTGATTACATATCTCGTAATTTTACCTCCCTGACTGTATGCTTTAACCAACATTGAGAATTTCAGTTTTTTCTATTCATTCGTGATATCTTCTTATTGAGAAGTCCAATTGTATGCTTTAACAAACATTGAGAATTTCAGTTTTTTCTATTCATTCGTGATATCTTCTTATTGAGAACTCCCATGTCTGTATTTGATTATAGCCCTATATGTATGATCATTGGAATAAATTTTCCAAAAGATTGTTCTTTCTTTGAATTGAATTTAAGAAATTAACCTGTTATTAGGTGACTGACTGGAGAGGGAGTAAACTTGATCTTGCAGCAGATCAGACGGAGCGGAGGGTCATATATCCTTCAGGTGGCATCCTTGTGACAAATGGCAGCTTACATAGTAAGATAGAAGAGATGATCTCTTCTAGTTCATTAGTCGTTTGATGGTATTCGGCACTAACACCTGCTGTATGTTTGCCATCACCATTTTCAAATTAAGATGTGATTCTTCATTCCAAATTTTTTTATTAGTTCCATTCATTTCAAATCCTCAAATTCGAGAAATGTAGTCAAAATTGTTCATGTGTACTGTTGTTAACCAGTAATAATATGCACAGTTGAAACTGTTACAAATTCCAGACGTGGTTTCTTGGATGAACTAGGGAAACTAACAAAAGGTTACCCCACAACATCATAGAGGAAGAAATATTATTAGTTAGTTATGGCTGGTTATGGCTAATTAGTGGCACAGCTGAAGTGTAGTCCACATTGCGAACTTTCTTGTGATGCACTGAGCACCATATGCAATCTTAGCTGCCTAATGTGATTTTCGAAAGGGTTTTACATGACAAAAATAAAATAAACAGCTAAGAATGTTGAAAACTTTTAGCAGAGAGAGAAAACAAGGCAATGAGCTGTAAAGATGTCAAAACATTAATGCACGTTAAGGTCCAAAACTATTAATGAAAATAACTTTGAACTCATAATTAGTTGTTAGGACCATCATTAGACATTGTATTGTGTTATTGGCCAAAACTTCAAAGTCCTGTCTCTTCTGAATATCTAACCCTCTGAAGACGAAGTCCTGGAATTGGTTTCGGTTGCTTGGAATAACCTGAGCCCCCTTCATTCTCAAACTTGCAAGGGACGTTAGTGCATGAAATGTGAATTCCTCATCAGAAGCACCATGTTTTCTTTCTTGAACTGATTTTATATCTTTTATAAAAGTCAGAATCTTGGATATTTCATGAGAAATTACTCCTTGGTGAAGACAAACTGATGAGTAATAATTCTTGCAGTCCCAGACTTTATGCCTTGTCCAGTTCTGTGAGTATGGTAATCACAAACCACCAAATGTTGGACATCAAGAACCTGGCTGGTTTTATGGCTTTATTAGTGCTGGCATATCACCTAAATTTGATGTTAGCATATTGTCAAGCAGTCGTGTGGAGGCAACATGTGCTCAGTCTGAATTTGTGGCAACTTTGGATATAGGGTTTGTAGTGGTTCATTTACCGCCCTAATTTTATTGATCTATTGAGGCATTAACTGCTCCAATGATTTTAATTGTTGGTTTTCTTCAAACTAGATTGAATAATAGGACTTCCGTGGATCACCCTTTGTCATATGGTTGGAAAAAAAAATATTGGTTTGAGAATTATATTAATTGGGAACAATGGACCAAAAGGGCTTATATTAAGTTGTTATTTACAACCTGATACGTTAATATGTGGAGGCCATAGTTTTGTCTGTGCACAAGGTGATTTTATCCATTGGGAGGTATATCATATCAACATACATGTGACTTCATAGAAGGAAGGTTTTTCAATCTTCATGGCTTCGATCTTATTATTCCTTTTCAGAGATAGGTCTTCATTTTTTGCCGGAAGCAAAGTTACTGGGCTGATACTCAAGGTACATTTCTTTCCCATGTGGTGTATTATTGTCTAATAATGAACTTGCTTTCAAAGACCTCACATGGTTGATTACATCAAGTTGGTTGATGTAACTTCAATTTTAGAAAGTAGTAAGCAGAGTTAATAAAATATCTGGCTTTTCCATCAGTTGTTGGATAAGTTTAAGCTTGGTTATGTACATGAAGTTATATGTCTTGTTACAGCTCCAAGGATAACATTAATATTATGGTTTTTAATGCTTTTATGATTTCCAGGTAGTTGTTTTTTCCCCCTATTAGTAATGTGCTGAAATATTAAATTATCTCTTGATTGTCATGATGATTAGAAAGGTAAATTTTGTTTGGGCAGTATTCTTACCTATATATGATAATCTTTGTAGAATTAAATTTACCATTCTATTGATGTATTAAACAGAATAAAAGAGTTACTACAAACGATATTTACATCAGCAGGTGCCAGGAACATATGAGAAATGGTCTTCATTATTAAGTTTTAGATGGTTTTAGACGAAATCAAAATTGAATATATTAGATGGTTATAGAGCAGAGAGGTAATAGTCCCTAACCAAATTAACCGAAATGCACATATTTCAAGGGAGACGGAGTAATTTATTTATTTTATTGTTATAATTTTTTGTGTGCATGGGAGGAGCATATAGGGTCCCTTCTGAACTTCACCCGAAAGGCATAAATGAGTTTACTTGGATGCTTGAGTTGCAAAATTATAGAAACCGATTTACTTTAGTAGCTTCTACATGCATTTGTTCCATGGTTGTCAAAATTGAATCCCATCAGCCCAATATGCGTTTTCGAAGTTCTGGATCGAAACATGTTTCTCTAAAAATTTTGAGTTACTTGCAGTTAAACAATGATGATGTTGTAGATCCTCAATTTATCGGTCATCGTTGATGATGTGGTCATTGGCCAATTAGATTCTATGTTTATATGAATATCAACCAGTTGTCCCTTCTTACATGTGAATCTTAGTAAATTTGTTTGAACATAGTGTACTGTTGCTTGCATTCAACTCAAGCTCACCATAACCAATCCATGTGTGGAGGCACCAAGTATGAAAAAAAACAAGTAGATTGTCCTTTTTCAGGTTGGAGCTCGTGAACCTGGCTCAATTGATCGCCATTCCAGAGAATTCAACTGTCCACGTGTCCCAAATCGCTTACGTTGGATGCAAAAGCAACGTGAGGACCAGATTTTCCGGGAAAATTCTCGACGCCAAATAAGTGCCAGGTCGTATTCTTCTCTAGCCTTGCTTTGATCATCATTTCCATTAGAGTATTAACTATTGTGGACTCAGTATAGACTACATAGTTTATAAACAAATATGCATGAGATTGCTTATAATAATGTGACCTTAGCATAACATCCACAAAGCATATATAATTTGCATGGGGTTGCTTATAATAGTAACGTTGGCACACCATCCACACAAGCTTTGGATCTCGTATCCCAGAAATAGCTCTAAACTATGTGAAAACAGTGTGTTAAATAAATGAGCCTGAGACAATAACACGTCTGCTTAATATTCAACGTTTGTTGGAGCAATCTAACAGCTCACAACAGAAACTAACAACATTTAAATCATCTACCTAATACATATTTATATATATCTATCACACACACATACACAAACGCATACACATTTATATCTCTGCTGGTCAACTTTAAGACGTAGGCAACTTATTCCGGTAACACTGCACAAGAACATCCTAGATTTTGGACAAGTAATTACCTGATTCGGTATAAAATTTAGTCATGAATTCCTTAATTTAAGTACAAACAGTATGAATAATCTGTATGACATCTATTCTGGTTAATTATATGATATTGGTGCCTGTAAGACCCCAGACACGGGGACATTAGCCTAATATTTAGGATATGTTTAATTGAAGTCGATCATGCTTATCCTCTTATTCTTGTAGTCAAGATTTATAATAAGAAATGTTAGCGTATGGTTCAATCACTTTGTTAATATGTGTGGATTTATAATTAGGGTAAAAATACATCGAATTTCCCTAAGGTTTGAACAAATTATATAATTGTAGACCTTACTTTGCCCTTCCCTAAACCTGTTCGTCGAATGCTGGAAAGTATTTTTAAATGTGAAAAGTCAATAATGGCCTTATATTATAATAATATTTTATATTACAACACATGAGTTTATTGTTGTCTTTTTTTTTATATGAAAAGGGCAAAATTGTCATTTTATATAATTTGGTTGATAGGTTTATAGCAAAGAAAATACTAAAAATGTTATTGAACATATACACCAAATTTAAAAAAAAATTAAATTAAAATAATAAACGTTAAACAATTTGTATATAATTTGTTCAAATCGAGGGTAGTATAAACTACCCTTGTAATATAACTATAAGAAAGGGGGGATAAACATGGTGATGGGTTTGGGTCAATTATAAAAAGTTACTAGATAAAAGAAGTTAGGACAAATCTAAGTAGATGAATAAAATAATAATTGACCATGCCCTTTAAATTGTAGTATGTGAAGGTACGTGGACGCGAATTAGTCACATGTGCACATGATTCACTGACCAATGAACAAGGATTCAAAAAAGTTGTATATTTTTTACTTTTCCACAAAAAAATATATATATATATAAACAAAAATAGTAGGCGCCTGACTGTGATGTAAACAAAAGCAACATATTGGGTACTGTGAGGACACCTGTTCAGAATTCTTCAATTTTCAGATATTTAAATTACCCAAGTGTCCTCATAAAAACTGACAGATGGCACTCAAATACAAGTACGTAGTTTACCATTAAGCAAAATGATATTTTATGTAAACAGAATTTACCACACGAGTAAGAATCTCCTGCCGTTCGTTGTTACACCGGTGCTGTAAAAAATTTCTAACACAATTAAATTTAATTTCTAAAACTATAAATATTAGTGTTGGAAAGAGATTTTAGTGTAAATTGGATTTTACCATATTATTTTTAGGATATGATATTACTGTGTTAAAATTTTATTTGTGCCGTTAAAATACTAAGGAATAAATAAAGTAATACTAGTAATAATTAACGTTTGATTTAAGAGACTCACATAAAAAATTGTACGGATTTAAATGTTGGAAAATTGACAGCAAGTTGCAACGTGGCATAATTTTGATAGGCTGATAATTGGTTGATTTTCTATGATGGTGGTCCTAGTAATAGGGAGCTATTGTCTTTTGACACGTACAACGTAAAGTTGCTGTTAATATCAAATAAATTAAACAACAGTACAACAATTTAATGTGTATTTATGTCCACAAAATTTATGCGGAGTGGGATCCATCGGCTCATGCAACAAAATAGTTTATTATATTAAGCAACCAGATATGTATCACATATATATATATATATATATATATATATATATATATATATTATATTGTATTATATGATGATAAGTTGACGAAAATGTTCAATGATGTACCATCGAGTTGGTGTCCTGTTTAACGCAGTTAGTGAGCTAGTGGCATTCGGCTTTCAGCCGATCAATTTTGGTCCTCTTTTCTGGGAGGTAATTAAACTCACTTTGAACTAAAATTTTGATGTTTTTTGTATTTTTGTTTTTCCCCCTTCCGGGTAAGGAAAAAATTTCGAAGGATTTAAATCTTTGCCTTTTACTGTAGAAGAATTTTTCATATTTTAATTGGTGAAACTTTATCACTGAAAATTGGTTAGGGTTTATTATTATATTTGTGAAATTTCAGTATTACAATAGATGTTAAAGTAAATTTCAGGAAGTTGTACTGTGTAAAAAGTGTACCGGAAAGGACTTTGATTGAGAGATTAGTTGGATTTTGTTTGAATTCATTTTTTCTTATTTTCCATCTTGTGTTGCTGGATCTGACCGTTAGTCTCGGGTCAATTAACACGTAATTAAATGCGTTCTCTTTATATCAGTTTTATTCAATTTTTTTTATTTCCGTATAATCTAATAATTGATCGGGACCAATGGATCAAAGACTAGACAATAATTATTTCATCCTACCCTACATGTGGTGACAAACAAGAACATGGATCATCTCCGAATCACCCTAGATGTGGGTCTATGTTCGATACGAAAATCACACCTTATATGAAATGATCTTCACCTTTTCTGTATGAAACAAAATGTTGAGCATAAGATTGGGGGGTCGTCGATACCTGGGTAAGAGATGGATGGGACTATGACATAAAGCAAGGCCTAGTGCCCTTATGACCAAGTAATGGTACTTACTGAAGCACATTATGGCATTTTCCATCCATAACTATCAAATGTCATTTCCTTTGATTTTTTTTTTTTTTTTTCTTCCTTCGTGTTGACAAAACCTTCCTCAAATTTTCAAAATATTTGACAATTCTTGTTGTTCCTAGTTTATAAATTGTAAGGATTAAAATGATGATACTAATGGAAACTAAATTTAGTATATGGTCTAAATTAAAATGATGATACTAATTGAGACTTGTCATATTCAGAAAATGTTAGTGTACATAAATGATAACGATAGAAAGGCAATAGACAAACCTAGTTTGTAAGTTTATTTTCTACCAAAGTAAGTCCTCTGTATACTAATGTCTATTTTTTTACACTTTTATAAGGTCATTTCAAGATGAAAGGTAGAATCTAAATCACACAATCTTTCTCAACATATGTCGTTCTTACGCTCTATGCACATTTTTGTTCTCATTCAAATTCTCACTGTTTATGACTTAATTCTACCGTTCTCACTCTTCCCTTTTAAATTCGCTCTCGCTTTCACTTTATGTGACTTAGGATAAAATAGGTTATGGCTCAAATCTTGTTTTGTGTTGAACAAAATAAAAATAAGTGATATGGAGAGAATTTTTTTTTTTTTTTTGGTTTTAAAAAAAAAAAATGATAAGGGGTGAGTAAAGAGTGGTTAAAATGCTGATATCATAAGCCATATAAAAAAGGGCTCAAATTTCAAAATCCCATCATTTCTTTCTTTGACAAAATAATACAGTAAATAAATTTGAATGAATATGAATAAAACCTTGTCCGGGAATTAAACGAAGAAACCTTTTGTTCTTCAAAATATCCACATAAATGTTCCAATATTTCGGCAAACACTAGACTCTATTATTGCCGCCAAAAATTAAATGCTCCTTTTCAACACCTTTGGCATTTATTACAAATGTATTTGGTTGTACTATATATTAGAAGCCACTTTTGTCTCTCTAGGCCAAAATTGTCTCAGCCACATAACAACTAAGCTGCTAAAATGATGAGTATTTGACAAGTCTTCATATAATTGAGTAATTAATATTATAAATAATGCTCAATTTTTTTTTTTTTTTTTGTGCATTTCTAATAAATAGTATTCGATTCTTATACATATTACTTCCTCCATCCCGCAAAGAGTGTCGCTCATGAGGAATACAATTTTTTAAGAGTGTTATTTTTTATAATTTTTTTTATAGTATTATGAGATGAATTTCCTAATATGCCCTTGTATCAATTTATGAGTATAGTACAAAAGTTGTTTGAATTGAACTTTCAAATTTGAATTGTGAGGTCCACAATAGCATTTTTTAAAAGTTTTAATTACTTTTATAATTTCAATACAAAGGGTATATTAAGAATATTTAAAAAATAATGTATTGGATTTTGAAATATGACACTTATTTTGGGACAGTCAAAAAAGGAAAGTAGGACACTTATTTTGGGACGGAGAGTGTAAATGAGAATGAGAATAAAATATATGTAGATGTTTATTTTATTTTTATTTTTATGTTTATTTTTTAACAACTTCTTATAAATATCATTGGAGGCTAGTTGAAGCCGGCTTGGAGTTGAAGCCATGCACGAGATCTAAGAAAGCATCACTAGGGGGGTACGTGGCCCTCTGGAGTTGATGACAGCTATTTCGTGTCCAGAAGTTTTGGAGAGACACCTCCGCCGGAAAATGATGGTATGTGATGTGAGATATAGAGAGAGAAAGATATAATAGTCTGTGAAATAAAGGGATGATCATTCATGACAGTCAAAAAAAAAAAAAAGGTAAACGTTTTGATTTTTTAGAGTTTTTAAATTAATTGTTTTTACCATCAAATTTAAGAGAGAGAGAGAGAGAGAGAGAGAGAGAGAGAGATTGAAGTATGAAGTTTCACACATTTTTCTCCAAACAGGGGACACGTTGCCTTGCTGATAAACAGAGGACGGCACCGAATCCCATTGACTTCCTCCTTGTTTTCTTTCACTTCTCTTATCCATCTATATATACCACTATTTATACAGCAATCAACAAGTACTTTCCACAATCGACCCTACATCTTCTGTCTCAACTTTCTCTGTTCCCAATCATCCCCATATCTCTCTCTCTACAATTCAATCTCTCTCTCTCTCTCTCTACATATATATATTAGAAAAGGTTGTAAAGGTACTAGTTAGCTGGAATATTAGAGACAGTACCATGGGAAGATCACCTTGCTGTGAGAAGAATGGACTGAAGAAAGGTCCATGGACCTCAGAAGAAGATCAGAAGCTCATTGATTTTATTCAGAAGAATGGTTATGGAAATTGGAGGACACTTCCAAAAAATGCAGGTCTATATATATATTTTACCACTCCTCACTCAAAATGTTTAAATTATATAATATTTGTTTGCATGGTTGAATTATACAAGTGTTTTAATTATGGGTTTTTTTTTTTTTTTTTTTTTTTTAAATTTCATAATTTTATAGGGCTGCAAAGGTGTGGAAAGAGTTGTCGTCTTCGATGGACAAATTATCTGAGGCCTGACATCAAAAGAGGCCGATTCTCATTTGAAGAAGAAGAAACAATAATTCAACTCCATAGCATATTGGGAAACAAGTAAGCATTTTTTTTCTTTTTCTTTTGAATAACCTACTTTACATATATAGTTTCGCGACTAATATATCACTCGAAAAACATATCCTTTTTTAATTGAATTTTTAGAAAATCGTTCTCAGAACTGTCAATCAAACAGATTTCTGTACAGTTTTTTTTTTTCTGAATGAATTGAAAGTAGGGCAGACTTTTTGTCAACTACTTGAAAAGTTTGATTTTGCCTTGTATTAATTGTCTTCTTGCTTGTATGAGCATAGATGGTCAGCCATTGCGGCTCGTTTGCCGGGAAGGACAGACAATGAGATCAAGAACTACTGGAACACGCACATTAGGAAGAGGCTTCTCCGAATGGGGATTGATCCGGTTACACACAGTCCTCGTCTCGACCTTCTTGACCTCTCCTCAATTTTGAGCTCATCACTCTACAATCCATCTCAGATGAATGTTTCAAGGTTTTTAGGTCATGTCCAACCCCTAGTGAACCCCGAGATACTAAGGCTAGCCACTTCTCTCCTACAATCTCAGCGCGAAAATCCGAACTTTCTCCTCCAAAATGGTCAAGAAAACCAGCTCTACAATCCCCAAATCCAGAACCAATTGCCTCCATTGGTTCAACCTAGCCAAGTTCAAGAACCATTTCAAGAATGTGTTCCATTTCCTAATGAGTCCCAACTCATGGAACCAAATGTTGAGCCATTTTCGTCAACTCTTTCGGACTTTAACTCCCAAAGTTGTCTATTAAATGAGTGGCAAAACAATGGATTAGAAGACTGCTTTGCTCTACCGAACTATGGCTATTATGACTACTCCAATCAAAGCATCATGGACCCTCCTCAATCCGACAACTCGAATTTTCAGTCCAACAGCAGCAATAACTTCAGCTTCCCGTCGGTTTTATCGACGCCTTCATCGAGTCCGACGCAGTTGAATTCGACTTCCACGACGTATATCAACAGCAGCAGCACAGAAGACGAGAGAGAAATTAGCTACTGCAGCAACATGATGATGAAGTTTGAAATCCCAGATTTTTTTGATGTTAATGAATTCGATCATGTAATTTGAAAAAAAAAAAAAAAAAAAAAATCAAACTGATCAGTGATTTAATTTTTAGCTTTGTTGTTGTTTAATTTCTTGTAAAATTTGTTGCAATTTTCATAACCTCAATGAATCGGGAAGAAAATCGTCCTGTGTTTTTTTTCTTTTTTATTCAATCATACATCTGAAGTTTCCATTATTGATGTATTGTATTAAATTGTTTTCCTCATTTGGGAGCTAGTTTGTATTTAATTCAAATGGCATCAAACGGATAGAGAAACATAATTAATCAAAGCATAGACCTTCATGTGATCTGTCACACAATATTAAATAATCATGTTAAAAAAATCAACATGCATGGACGGACGAACATGAATAATCAATATCATGGACTTCCATATTTATCACGGGCGACGATCAAAAATAGGAAGTTAATTAAATAACAATATAAAAAAGTTGATACACTTACTATTATATGATATATGGTCATTTCTTAGAAGAGTAGTAAAATCTCACGTTATAAGGTCAAGTTTTGAGTTTAACTTTTCTAAATTAACCATTTATATAATATAACTTCTTCCTTGTTTCTTTATAACTAGCTAAATTCAAGTTAGGAGAAAACTTGTGTTGCTTAGTTTGTCCATGTTTCTTTAAACAGCTAAATTCAAGTTGGAATAAAGAAGGAGATTTGTGTTAGGTAACGTAAAATTTTGATGTCATCAATATCAATATTATAAGGACAATATTTGTCTACACACCGACAAATAGATCATTCATTCTGACTGCTTGTGTGGTCTAATTAGCACAAATAATTTGTAATTACAAAACTAAGAAAGTGATAAATAAGAAAATTAAAGTGGGTGAGTAAATTTATTTCAAAAATAATAATTTTTCTTAATTATTACTTTTCTATTTTATAATTACTGATTATTTATAAATTTGTGATTGGATCACATTAGTCTATTTACTTGTAAGTGGATAAGTCATCCGTACGTTAACGGGCAGAAGAATTTAATTATGTGTTGAAATCTTGCGTTCTGTTTTTTGTCTTTCTTGAAATTAAAATTGGCACATAAAATTAGTATTTGTAAAAGTTAAGTTGCAGTCAAACTGCACCATGAACTAGCCCAATGCACATTATTTGTAGAGTGTTGCCAGATAGATTAATCACACCAGTAAAGATGTGGAAATACCTCCTCTAAAAATATATAGATATATATGTATATATATATTAGGCTTTGATCACGTGTCTGGGAAGAGCGTAGTCTTATTCAAACAGTGGAGACACTCATCCGCGGCGACGCCTGCTACGGTGGCCAGTGCGTGGAAAACCAACAGGTGTACGTCTTACAAGCCAGGTGTAAGTCAAATGTCCTATCAACTCCCTAATAAAGTGAAGCTTGGTATGTGTGCAATTATATTGTTACATAATATAATAATATAAGTTTGACTAAGAGATGTACGTGGCGATGTACGAGCGGTGGACAAAGTGGTGGGGACCACTTGGGAAGGGATTCGCTTTATTTGAAAATCACGGCATGCCTCCTGTGCCTCTCTTGTCCTTTTCGTACCCAAACACAGCCCAAAATGTGAGTCACGTCGTCAAATCCGACACGTGGACACAATAATACACCAACCAATTTTTTCCATGAGTTGGAGGAGGTGACCGGTCACCGGTTCACCCGGTAATAGAAAGACTCTTATTATGGATCTTATCCAAATTTAGAGCCTAGCTGTAGAGTGGTAGTACTCGCCGATCATTTCGTTGCCATTGGTATGTGTGTCCAAATATTAGGTTGTACGTTTTGCAAAGAAAAAAGGATACTAAAATCCAAGCATCCAAGGAAATTGAGAACCAAAGGAAGCTAAAGCCTGTTTGGGGCATGTTCCATCTTGTTCTATGTCCTTTCTTACAGTGCAAATGGGTATTATTGAGGACACCAATTTGTTTGGTATGGGCTGTATTGTGTCTAACAGTATTAGAACAAATTCAGTTTTTGGGCCAATTTTCGGAACAAAAAAATAATGTTCCAAAGTGTTTCCAAATTGTGCAAGGCCCACTTTTCACTATAGAATGGAGAACAACAGCCCAAACACTTGGAACACTGAGAACACAATTTATAAGAATCGGTCCATCTTGTTCTAGGGTTCTCTCTACGACTGAGGCGATTCACAATGTACCCTTGGGAGGTACTGAAGCTTTCCGAGATCTTGGGTTGAAATCGACACCATTGATGTAAATACGAAGCTTCTCGGCAACGTCTTCTTCTCACCGGTGAGTTCCAAACATGCATCTTCTTCATAAATGGAGTCATTGTGTTCTGTCTAAATTTTGTCACATGTATGAAGATCGGACTTGTCGGTGTTCCACTGTGTATGCAGATCTGAAGATTTACTTCCCCTTTGTGACCTCTGCATTTTTCGGCGAACCCAACCTGAGGCTGCTGCTCACTGCACTCTCAGATTCTCGGTCTATTTACCTTCATCATCGACATCAAGTGAGTTAATTTTTTGTTTGCTTGAAAAAAAAAATTTAATTATGAAGACCTTGTTGCCTGATTTGTTGAGGAATGCGCAATTGTATCTCTGTATTTATGGTGTACTGTGGCTTCGCTGGACCTTAATGCTTGTATCTCTTTATTTTGTTTGCTTGTTGCCTGATTTGTTGACGATTTTGTGGTGGAATGTTCAAAAAATTGACAGTGGACTGTTGAAGGAACAGATTATAAAAATATCTGTCTTGTTTTATGTAATTTCTCTATTTATTTATTTTATTTTTTTTGTTTTTCAATCCATGAGAATTTTCTTTGACTGAATATGTAAACATAGGACTGATAAATATCATGCGTTCAAACTGGTTGGACCATGTCTATATGACAAGTCATGGGTTGCTTTGACTGATATGGTTTTTAAGTTTGGAATGCATATTATATAATTAATTATATATAGGCACAGATTGTTACCTGTTTTGAATTTACTTGAATACTTCATATAAAAAATTGTTGTCTTCCAGTGATTATATCACGTTAATCAGGCGACCTCATGCTCTTCAGTTCTTGAATTGAGCCACACATATTCCTCTCTCTATATATCTATATATCATTCAACAAAACAAGTTGGCATATTCTAATGAGTGTGTTCAATTGTGTCATTATTTTAGTAAGAAGAATTTACTGACCAACAATAAAAGATAAGATGTTATCATGGACCAACCTCGCAAAAATAAAAAAAATTACCATTCTTAATTAGTGGACATAACACATATGATTAATGATTGTAAAACTTTTGACGAGGTCATAAAGACAAAACTATAGAGGACCTGGGGAAAAAGAAATGTTTGATTAAAAATAAGGAATGAACTGAAATAAGGAGTATGAAAAACATATATAATAGATCTAACCCCTTGTATAATGTTTTGGGATTCTATCTTATACACTTTAACAATGAAAGATCAAATAATTAAAGGGCTTTTGGAGTAGTTGTATAACTTGAGGTTCGAGTCTCGGCCTAGACAAAAAGGCATATATGTTTGCTTTAATGTTGAGATATATATGAAAGAAAAATGGTATATCCGATGACATCATTCCCAACTTACGTGAGTATAATAGGATGTGTCTAATTATCGGACTATGTAAGTATCACAACTCAAATTGTTTTTGCATTTAATGGCGTGATGATAATTGTGTAGTTAAGACGATGTTATTGGCTAAGATTACAATTGTTAATGACCCTTTTAACACATTTTTATTAAAACTATATAATTAGATGGATATCAATGCTGACAATGTGGTGGACTCAGAAATAGATGACCTTACAGAGAATACCGATGATGGAAAACTAGTATGGGATGATTCCCATCTTGAAGCTTTCATCATCTGTATGGAGGAAGAAATCTATGCTGGTAATCGGAATAACACAACTTTTACTCGATCCAAATGGTTGGAAGAATATACGGAAAGGCATGACTATCTGTACAGGCAAGAACTATGAACTGAAACAACTTAAGAGCAAATTCAACTACTTGAGGGTAGACCACAGAGCCTTTATGAGTTTGTTAGGAGAAACAGACGTGGGATACAATGCTGAGACGGGCATGGTTATAGTTGAAAATGAAAGATGGACTAAATTGATCAAGGTTAGTTTTTAAAATAAATTTATATTGATTTTACAAAAAATTATACTTAAATTAATATTAATAGTAATTTAATAATTTGTAGGTGAATTCCCAATATGGTAAGTATCGAAAGAAGCCATGCAATCATTTTGATAAGCTCACAACTGTATTTGGAGGCGCACACGCTACAGGTGCACATGTCCATACTTCCTACAGTTCACCCATTCTCAACCAAACCCCCGCGCACCATGAAGGGACACATACCTCATTTGACCTTAATGATGATTTTGCTGAGTTAGGCGGTCATGAGCTCAGTCCTTCTCCTGACCCTCGTGGTAAGAAACCAAGGAGAGAGAGTTTTGCCTCCACAAAGGATCGTGTCATGGAGAAAATGAGTGAGGCTAGTACAGAGAAAACAGATCGAATTGAAAGGGCCATAGTCGCTTCTTCATCATCTAATATGAAAACAGGGCAGGAAGCTGGGCAGGTTGAAGTAAATTCTCCGGATAAGACAAAGGGTGATTTTAAATTATGTTGTTACATTCTGAATAAGTTGGAGGGCGTTGATATGAAACAATATGCTAAGGTCACCCAGATGTTACGTAATGATGAACTTTGGAGGGATTTCTTTCTTAATGACCTTTCGGATGAAAAGAGGGTTGGTTGGATCAATGGAATTTGACTTGGCATGTTGGTTTTATTATGAATTTGGATGACTGTATTACTACGTATTATGACTTTCTGTGCGTCGCTTTTATTTGTTATTATCTTTTGCTATGACTTTGGGTGATTGTAATATTAAGTACACTCGTTGATATGTTATTTGGTTTCAGTGTAATGACAATATAACTATTTCGCTTGTTTTGATTTTAGTTGTTGCCTTACCCTAATAATTTTTATTTTGTTTAACAAAACTTGAGATTATTTTAATTTATAATGTTTGTTAAATGTTGTACTATACAGATGGATATTAGGACAATAATTGACTTGTATGATGATGGTGATGAGGAGAATGAGTGTGTCATCATAACGGCATGTATGTTGGACTATTATAAGAAACAT